ACGCAGCATCTGAAGCAGGCGTCAGGCCCTGAGCTGTCACCGCAGAGCCAGGTGCAGGGCTCGAACTCATGAACTGCGAGATCATGACCTGAGCCTAACGCGGGCGCTTAACCGACTGCGCCCCCAAGGCGCCCCCAACAGAGGAGGACTGATATAAAGAATAACTATGATAAGAGATTAAATATAATAAGTAACTCTATGCGGTTCCGTAGGGGTAAGGGAGAGCACCCAAGGAAGGACCAATTTGGAGGGGTTCAGATCTCTTCAGGAAGGGTGGGTGGGCCGCTAACCAGGGTGCAGTGGGGGGGCGGGGGGGGGCAATCAGCAGCCCGTTGCGTGGTTGTGCCCTGGGAGTCTGGGTGGCTGCACAGGACAGAAGGCCTTTACAGCATGCAGGTAGCAGGAGGTGAGGAGGTTTGTACAAGGAACGACTTCTTTGTGACTCCTCAGGCCACAGTCTGGACAGGTGAGTGTGGAAAGGACCCGCCACAGGGCCAGTCTCCCCTGATTGTTCTCACCCTCATACTGCCGCCCTCTGCCGGTGTCAGAAGTCACAGCAGCTTCTTGCTCCTGCGGTGTCCGTGCAGCGCCCTCTACTGAGAAAGGTTAGCATTGTGCTCACTTTAAACAGGTTAAGCCACTCCAGCGCTTCCCATGGGCCATATACTGAACCTGAGAAGCGATAAATTATTAACTGACACGAGTGCAGTGGCCTGTCTGTTCCTTGTGTTTATTACTGGTGACTGATTCATTGTGTGTTTGAATATCTGTTAATGCTATCCAGGCCCATTGACCTGCTCTTTTGAGGTTTTCTTGGCAATTCTCATTTATTTTTCGAAAAGAATTTTTAAATAAACTTACCTAGTTCCAGAAGGGGGAAAAAAAAACCCCTTGGCATTTTAATTTAATCCTGCATTTTTTAATTTTAAGAAGTATTTTATAATAAATTCTTGTGGTTAAAAAAATTCTTGGAGCTAACAACAACAAAAGTGATAAAAAAGTGAATAAAGTAGCAAATGAGAGTTCCTGCCCCCTGAGGTTAGTATTTTTTTTGTCTGTCTTTCAGGATGTGTTTCTAAGCTGTGTGTGTGTAAGTAAGAAGTATGTGTGGACAGGGGCCCCTGGGTGGCGCAGTCGGTTAAGCGTCCGACTTCAGCCAGGTCACGATCTCGCGGTCCGTGAGTTCGAGCCCCGCGTCGGGCTCTGGGCTGATGGCTCAGAGCCTGGAGCCTGTTTCCGATTCTGTGTCTCCCTCTCTCTCTGCCCCTCCCCCGTTCATGCTCTGTCTCTCTCTGTCCCAAAAAATAAATAAACGTTGGAAAAAAAAATTAAAAAAAAAAAAGAAGTATGTGTGGACATTTTTAATAGTTAGGCCTATAGCTCTAATTTAGAAATGTCTTCTGTTTTTCTCTACAGCCCCCGAGTCTTTGAGAACCTTATAATGTCCCTTTGTGCCTCTTCTCACAAAGAGTTTCCTCAGCTGTTACCTATTCAAGACATGGATATCAAAAACTCACCATCTAGCCTTAACTCTCCTGCCTCCTACAACTGCAGTCAACCCATCCTACCCCTGGAGCATGGCCCCATATATATACCGTCCTCGTACGTGGAGAGCCGCCATGAATATTCAGCCATGACATTCTATAGCCCTACTGTGATGAATTACAGTATTCCCAGCAGTGCCAGTAACTCCGAAGGTGGACCTGGTCGACAGACCACAAGCCCAAATGTGTTGTGGCCAACCCCTGGACACCTCTCTCCCTTAGCGATCCATTGCCAGTCGTCGCTTCTGTATGCAGAACCTCAAAAGAGTCCTTGGTGTGAAGCAAGGTCGCTAGAACCCACCTTACCGGTACACAGGTAAGTCCAGTCTTTATTCTGAATTGTACTTTAGGGGCATTATTCAAATCACTTTATGATTTAGTGAGAAGAAAGATATGCATTACTCCAGGTCTTTCTTCATCACATAGATTACTTAGAGCACCTGACACATATATTCTGAATTCTAGAATATCTATTCTGCTCTTCTAATCCTCATTTAAAAAGTAAGCTTGTAGATCTGAGTTCTGGGGAAAATTCACTATCATGACTACGGTTTTTAGACATTAGAGTTTGAAATAAAAAATCGCTTTTCTCTTGATGAAGTGACTTGGGTTTGAAAAAGAAATTTTTAGGGGTGTCTGGGGGGCTGTCGGTTAAACCTCTGACTCTTGATTTCGGCTCAGGTCACGATCTCACAGTTCCCGGGATCGAACCCTGCACGGGGCTCTGCTCTGACAGATCCTGCTTGGGATTTTCTCTCTCCCTCTCTCTCCCTCTGCCCCTCCCCTGTTTGCACACTCTCAAAAAAATAAAAAGTAAAAAAAAGAAATTTTTACTTTCTTTTCAAGTTAGATGCTTCTTATCTTGTAGTGAAATCACAGTTGAGTGTTCATGGCACATTGTGTCCAAGAGAAAAGCAACTGGGGAAGTGTTACTGCTTCAATGAAATGGACTGGACACATGAAGCCTGAAAAGACAGGAGATGATTGGCACAAGTTTTTGACAGTGAACTAAAATAGCATTTCATAAAGATTGATGGGAAACTAAATGTAGACTTTAGTTGAAATTTCTTGAAGTTTAAAAGAGTATCTGTACTCTTAAATGCAAGGTAACGTGGGTTATTTCCATTTAATTTGTAATGTATTTAATGATAATTACAGCTATGGAGGGAAGAGGTCGGGTAGGGAGAAGGATGAGGGGGAGATAAATTTCTAAAACAACCAAAGTATTAAGTTCTTGCATGTTGGGTATTGAAATTTGTTACTTTCAAATGCTGTCCTAACACTTTGAGAAAGCTATGTTACACTGTAATTTTATTTTTCTCCTTTTTAAAATCTTTGTGGGTAAAAGAGAATATAAACATTGTAGATAACTTTCTTTTTAATGTTTTTTTATTTCTGAGACAGAGGGAAACAGAGTGCGAGTGGGGGAGGGGCAGAGAGCGAGGGAGACACAGAATCCAAAGCGGGCTCCAGGCTCTGAGCTGTCAGCACAGAGCCCGACACGGGACTCGAACCCATGAACTGTGAAATCATGACCTGAGCCGAAGTCAGGAACTCAACCGACTGAGCCACCCAGGCGCCCCATGTAGACAACTCTTTTAAAGTCCTGTTTTTCACTCAGCCTTTAAGGGAAGAAATATTTTGTTTCTGATCATGAGATCTAATCAGAGTTCTAATATAGGGTAAATTAACCCGTAGTATAATCATCTTCGTTTATAAATCAATTATATCTCTGACATTTCCTTTCCAAAAGAAACATGGCTTAGCACGATTAGGAACTAGCCAGGTATGCTTTTAGTGTCCACTAATACTGCCTTCATGGGCTGTCCCTTCCTCTGTGGAAGCCACTGCCCTTCTCCCCAGCACTGCACACCTGCTTCCTTCAGAAACTTCTCTGAGCACCAGCGTGTGTGCACTTTCTCCCTCTCTCTTCTCCTTTCTCTCTTTTTCTTCTCCCCGCCTTTTCCTGTCCTTCCCTGCCCTTCCCGGCCCTTCTCCACCCTTCTCTACTCTTCCCTACCCCTTCTCTCTCTAAACCAGAGTATAGCGTTCACTTCGATGTCACTTAAAGTCTATCGGCTACTCCTCTTACAGTTGTTTTCACTCTAGACCTTCCTCTTAAATTGCAGAATGAAAGTTTTTGTTGCCCATTTAAATGGGAACTCTGAAGGGCTAGTTAGCACCACTGAGGAATGACTGATACTTGAAAATGGTTAGGTGAGATTAGGTCCATCCTTACAGTGTTGATGAATTAGCAATTATGGAAGGCCACTGCACACCCTGCTTGTAGTTCAGACCTGTGGGTAAGACTTGTTCTGGTCACTTATTACACTCAGAGATGTGCAATCTGATGGCTACAACCAGCCGTCTATAGTTACTAGTGACCCTCAGCATTGCATGGATGGGCATAGACTCACCTAACTACCTTCAAACATCAGTCATTCCCAACAGTGTGACTCTTTCTGGATCTCATGATATCAGCAACAAAGGTCGTGCTTGATCAGATTTCCTGGAATTTATTTATTGTGAGCTCTGGAGGGCAGGGGTAAATTAGACAGTGTTCGTGCTATATTTTTTTTCTAGAAAGTCCATCTTTTCCCCTTAATGCTGTGTTACAATGAATATTTTCTTTACCCCCAGAGAGACACTGAAAAGGAAGGTTAGTGGGAGCAGTTGTGCCAGCCCTGTTACTAGTCCAAGTTCAAAGAGAGATGCCCACTTCTGTGCGGTCTGCAGCGATTACGCATCTGGATATCACTATGGAGTCTGGTCGTGTGAAGGATGTAAGGCCTTTTTTAAAAGAAGCATTCAAGGTACAAGAGTATTGTTAGCTGCTTCTGTAGTTTTCTGCTTTTGCTTTCAAAGAACTCTGCAGATGACCTGGCAGAAGTTTCACCGTTGGCCTGTTTGGTACACAAAGTACAGCAGTTGAGAGGCTCGTGTGTGTTGGGGGATGGGGCGAATGGTGGAGTAGGTTGTTTTAAGCATAGAGCCCCTTATCTTTAATTCTGGATCTCTACCCCAGAGCCCCAGAACTTGAACGGATCTCTTCCCACCATCACCCATCACCATTTTCTTGGGAAGAGAGGCCTAGTTACAACTCTTATGTATCTGTTACTGGTTTTTGATCTGTGGTTACCATTAGGTTTGTATGTAACATCTTATGCATATGGTAGTGTATGTTAAGTTGATGGTCTCTCTTTTTTTTAATGTTTTTTAAAATGTCTTATTTATTCTTGAGAGACAGAGAGACGGGGCATGAGTGGGGGAGGGGCAGAGAGAGAGGGAGACCCAGAATCGGAAGCAGGCTCCAGGCTCTGAGCTGTCAGCACAGAGCCCGATGCGGAGCTTGGTCTCTCAAACTGTGAGATCGTGACCTGAGCTGAAAGTCGGACTCAGCTTAACCGACTGAGCCACCCAGGTGCCCCTTAAGTTGATGGTCTCTTAAGTTTGAACCCATTCTTTACTCCTCCCTCCACTCCCCTCCCCTGCTGTGTTTTAAATCTACTGTGTCATACTTTACATCCTTTTATTTTGTGAATTCCTTGACTGGTTTTTATAGATATATTTAATTTTACTGCTTTTGTGCTTCCCACTTTTCTTACCTCTGCTTATGGTCTTTCTTTTCCACTCAAAGAGTCCCCTTCAACATTTCTCATAGGGCTCTTTAGTAGTCCTGAATTCCTTTAACTTTTGTGTCTGGGAATCTCTCTCTAAGTTTATTTATTTTATTTTATTTTATTTTATTTTATTTTTTTGAGAGAGAAAGAGAGAGAGACGTCGAGAGAGAGAGAGTAGGGGAGGGGCAGAGAGAGAGGGAGAGAGAGAGAGAGAGTCCCAGGCAGCCTCAGTACTGTCAGTGCAGAGCCTGATGCAGGACTTGAACTCACAAACCATGAGATCATGACCTGAGCCGAGATCAAAAGTCAGCTGCTTAACTGATTGGGCCACCCAGGTGCCTCACTTTTTCTCCCTTTCTATTCTGAATGACAGCCTTGCTGGATAGAGTCTTCTTGGTTGCAGGGTTGTTGTTGTTTTTTTTTTTTTTTTTTTTTTTTTTTTTTTTTTTTTTTTTTTTTTTTCTTTCAGCACTTTGAGTATATCATGCAGAGTTTCTGCTGAAAAATCAGTTAACAGCCTTATGGGGGTTTCTCTTTTATGTAACTGTTTTCTCTTGCTACTTTTAAAATTCTCTCTTTATCACTACTTTTTGCCATTTTAATTATTATGTGTCTTGGTGTGGCCCTCCTTGGGTTGATTTTGTTGGGGTCTCTGCGGGCCTCCTAGATCTGGATTTCTATTTCCTTCTCCAGATGGAGGAAGTTTTCAGCTATTATTTCTTCAAACAAAATTTCTGTCTCCTTTTCTCTCTCTTCCTTCTGGGATCCCTATAATTCAAATGTTATTATGCTTGATGGTGTTGTTCAGTTCACTAAATCTAGTTCCATTCTTTATTTTTTCTCTCTCCTATTCAGCTTGATTCCTCCCCATTACTCTGTCCTTCAGGTTGCTGATCCATTCTTCTGCTTCCTCTAGTCTGCTATTTATTCCCTCTAGTATGTGTGTGTGTGTGTGTGTGTGTGTTTTAAGTTTTTAATGTTTATTTATTTTTGAGAAAGAGAGAGAGGCAGAGAGAGAGAGAGGGAGACAGAATCCAAAGCAGGCTTCAGGCTCTGAGCTGTCAGCACGGAGCCCACATGGGGCTTGAACTTATGAACTGCGAGATCATGACCTGAGCTGAAGTTGGATGCCTAACAGACTGAGTCACCCAGGTGTCCCAGCCTCTAGTGTATTTTTAATTTTAGCTTTTGAATTTTTCATCTCTGATTGGTTCTTTTTTATGTTTTCTATTTCTTTGATAAGAGTTTTACTGAGGTCCTCTACTCTTTTCTCCAGTCCAGTTAGTATCTTTATGACCATTACTTTAAATTCTCTATCAGGCATGTTACTTATCTCTGTTTTATTTAGGTCTCTTGCTATGATTTTGTCCTCTTCTTTCATTTGAGACCTTATTCCTCTGTCTCCTCATTTTGTCTAACTCTCTGTGTATATTTCTATGTGTCAGGAAAGTCTATGTCTCCTGCTCTTGAAAGTAGTGGCTTCATGAAGAAGAGGTCCTGTAGTGCCCTGTGGTGCAATGTCTTCTGTTCACCACACCTGGGTCTTCAAGGATGTCACCTCTGTGTGTTGTGTGCACCCACTATATAGTGGCCAAGGTGCTTTGGCAGTCCTGTTGTCTGCAATGGCTCTCTTTGCCTATTGTGGGCTGAGTTGGGTCCCTTTGTTGTTAGTGAGCCAATCTGGGGCCACCTTGGCTTGAATTGAGTCAGACCAGGCATTTGCCAGAGATGTGGTAGCACTGAACTACAGGGCACTTTTCATGAGTTGTCCTTTGAGAAACTTTTGTTGGTGGGTGGGGCCAGGAGTTAAGACCAGATGTCTGCCTCCAACCCACTGCTGGGGCCACAATTGGACTGGTGTGGTGATCTTTCCCTCTCTCCAGGTCAGGAGTCACTTTGGAATGGTGCTGGCCCCTCTCAGGGCTACTCGTACACTGTCAGGCTTGTGACACCTCTTTGGATGGGCTCTGGCCAAGGGCATATTAGAGAGGGCAAGTCTGCAGGAGAACATGGGCCGTGGCAGGCCTGCTGTTAGCAAGTTATATAGAGGGTATTGGGACTGTGCTGGTTTTTGCAGGTGTCTGTGTGTCTAGGCTGGGGTGTGGGGGAGGGGAATGGCACCCACCAGCTCCTTTGTTCCTGGAGCAATCTCCCAATGATTCCTGCCACTCTAGCACACACTCTGAGAATAGTAAACAGTCTCCCTTTCATATACCCCAGGCATTTTTCAAATAGCTGCTTCTATGCTGTACTTCCATGGAGCTGTTTGTTGTGCTGTCTCTTTAAGGGCAGGGTCTCCAGTTCCTGTTGCCTTCCCAGCTCTCTCAGAGTCAAGTGCGCTGATTTTTAAAGTTCCACCTGTTAAGCCCCCCTGATTGTAAGAACTCATGAAATTACCCCCCTCTGGTTTTCAAAGCCAGATGTTAATGGGGATTTGTCTTACCTGTGTGCATTCCCCGTACTTGGGGTGCCTGGTATGATAGTCTGTTCTTCTCCCCATTCCCAGCCAGTGGGTCCTTTTTCTGCTGTGGACAGTCCCACAGGTCTGTTTAGCTCCTGACTACCATTCCACCCTTCCTACCCTCTTCATTGTGGCCTTTTCTCTACATTTATCTGTGGAGAGTCTGTTCTGACAGTCTTTGGGTCATTTTCTGTATTATTAACACTGATGTGGGTGTTATCTAGTTGTATCCTTGGGACAAGGTGAGCTTAGGATCCTCCTATTCCACCATCTACCCCAGAAATCCCTAGTTATAACCCTTGTGAAGAAAAAGCTTGGAAAAAATGTGCTTATTAGGAATTGCAAAGATTGTTTCTTCCTTTGACTTATGTTTAACATTTGGCATGTGTAAAAGTCATGATGGTAGGATGGCTCCTGATCAAATCTAGAGAGGGTGAAGGGTAGAATTTAGTAGTAAAGAGTTGCCTTCCTGTAGATCCCCTGAAATTCATCCTGCTGTATAGATGGCCACCTATTTGTCCTGACTCCTCCATTTAGTAGCTCTATGACTTTACCTTCTAGTCTGTTTCCTCCTCTGTGAAATGGAGATACTTACAAAGTTATTCTAAAAATGAAATGGAGTTAGTTATGTGAAAATATTTGGTCATGTATAAACATCATGCAAATTTAGGATATTCTAGTTGTTTCCTATCTCTTCTACATTGAGATATCATCCTTTACCTTTTCTTTGTATTTTTCTTCTAATCCTAATCTCATTTAAATCTACTTCCTTTAAAATCTTCATAGTTGGGTGGGGCACCTGGGTGGCTCAGTCTGTTAAGCGGCCGACTTCGGCTCAGGTCATGATCTCGTGGTCCGTGAGTTCGAGCCCCGTGTCGGGCTCTGTGCTGACAGCTCAGAGCCTGGAGCCTGTTTCAGATTCTGTGTGTCCCTCTCTCTGACCCTCCCCCGTTCATGCTCTGTCTCTCTCTGTCTCAAAAATAAATAAACGTTAAAAAAAATTAAAAAAAAAATCTTCATAGCTGGGTGGATGAGGGCCCTCTGCCATTTCCAAACTTAATTTTCTCATTAAAAGAAGAAAGCATCACAGATAAAGAAAGCATATGTCATCGAATTATCAAAACATAAATTGTATTGTTTGCTTATTTATAATTGCTTTTATACACCAAGCTTTTCATTCTGTATTTAATATATTTAGTGCTTAGATATTTTTATTTATGATAATTGCAGTAGTAGATTATAAGGCCAGGTCCACTTCCCTATTATATAGTAAAAAAAATTCAGATATCTAAAATTCAGAACTGAATTCTTGATATGATGACAATTCTCTATCTTGTTGAGATTCCAGAATGTTATTCCTTAAGGAAATCTTGACCTGATACAACTAACTATATCCTTTGAAAAAGATCCTTTTTATTTGCTGTTGGGAAAAAAAATCTCTACCTGAAATATCTTTGAACCCTTAGACTATGGCTGATTACAATGATAAGGGAGTTTCCTCTGCTTTCCATATATCATTCCTTCCTACCACATGGGTCAAGGAACTATTGGGAAAGGTGAAAGAAATGTCACATTCTAAGTGTGCAGAAGGGAAAGAGGTAGTGCTCTGTGCCCTTACAATTGCTTAATGTATAAATGATCATTTTTTTTGGACTCCATATTTTTCACATCCCCCTAATATAAAATGTGTTGCAGCAACCAAGAATGGACACTCAATTCTTTTTGTATATGG